AAAATATTTTACTTCTCCTAACATAGCAGTGCATCAAAGTTCATCAAAACATACCAAGGAAAATTGATTACAAAAGATATATCGTACCTTCAGTTTTCTATGCTGATGTTAATGTGAAATGAAGAACAGAGAAGATTAGACCCTGTATTTCTACCCAAAAAATAGAAATAAGATTTAGTTAGTAACATAATTGTACTTCCAATTTCAATATATATAATGTAGATTGCTTTATTATTATAGTATACAACTTTGATGAATAAATTTTAAAATAAATTTCAACCAAATCACACACAGTCACCTACAATAATACTATATAACCTTGATGAATAGTTTTTTAAATAAAGTTCAAAACTTTACATGTGCTTTTGTTGCAAATATATATACTAACTAATACTCAAAATTTAAAAGGACCAAAGTAACAAAATTGACATAGAATCAAAACATTATCTGAGAACATTGATTAGTTTACCAATTGAAAGAAAGAACAAAATAGTTGAAAAAAGAAAGAAAGAAAGAAAGAAGTTTACCAATCTTCAGCATGGTGTCCCTTCAAGAAGTAATTCTTTTAGGATATAAGAACATTGAGATTATCCTACTTTCAGAAAAAAAAGAAAGAAAGAAATAATGATCAAAATATCAGATTGAATACTATAACTATACATCAAGTTAGATGTATAAATTGCTATATGAGAGACATGGAAGCTCGTTATCTTTCACAATTGAAGGAAAACTATGAAACTATCATAAGATAAAAGTAAGAAGATATAATCTTAACTTACTGAAAATTGCACTTCTAAAAAATAATAGCTATTAGTCCATGTCATAATTCAAGAATATCTTATTAGAACTATTGTATCCAATAAGGTATGTCTGAATAATAACAATGATCTCTATGTATCCTTCCAGCACCTGATTGATCGCAACCTGCCTTAGATTTACACTTGATAAAGGGGATACATAAACTTGCAATTAGTATGCATACTTTTTAACTTTCTGTTCTACATTTATTTTTGTTAAAAGGTTTATTTTGGTCAATCAAAGTGGTTAATATATTATGCAAGATTTTCATGTCCTTGTATTATTAACTTATTTTGCCAAAAAAAGATGTAACCTGACATGACACAACTATCACAACTTATTCTTCACCTGATTACCAATAACCATCTTTTGAAATTCATCACTTTCCTATTGCAGATTTTCAATCTGAGCTTTGAACACGGTGGTAGCTTTAGCATCCTGATCACGTCCAGCTTTAGAATGTACATGAAGTTGGAAATTTTAGAGTATGGAAAGTTTCCCCATAATATAACTGACAAACAAACCTTTCGGGTTAAGGTGGCGAGCTCTCGGTCTTTAGAGGGACTACATAAGACATATTTCTAAAATAGATAAATTAAGATTAAGATATATCAGAAGAAAAACAAACCTTTGCCTCTGATCATTAGCCGACTCCCTAAACTCAATATCCCTCTGCTTCTGCTGAAGTAAAGAATGTATGAAATTGCAAGTCCTTGCAATTGATTCCTACACTAATGAGCGAAAGAAAGAATATAGTAAGTTCGCAACTTTTAGTCTTTTTTGGGTAATTTTTTGTAGGTTGGCACTTGACAGTAACTAAAGCCTTAACAAAAATAAAAGTTTCTACTTTGGATGCAGCTTCATAACTTATGTCCAGTTCAACCCCTACTACCAACAAAATAGCTATTCCATAATCTTAATTCTAAAAATAATAAATTATAAAAACAATAAACCACAAATTTAAGTCAGCTTCGTAAAACTCCAAGCTTTCCTTCATTCACAATATTGTTTTCGCTTAGGGAAAAAAGAAAGTGACATATTCCCAATCGCAACTGGAATTTCTTAAAGAAGTGCTTTAATGGTTCAAGATGAACCCGAAACCCTAAAACCACCAATATTCAAGCAAAAAAAAAAATTAATTCAAAATTCTGTAGCGGACAAAAACACAGACCCTTCAGATCGAGGTCGCTCACCGGATCCGCAGCAAATAGATCGAGCGAAGCAGGGAATCCGAAGGTCATCAGCGTCTGGTTCAAATACTTGGCACAATGCTCCAAGTTGCCGGCATCAGCGAACGTGTACCCGCTACAAAAGGATCGAAACCAGATCAAATCCATTGAAGAAGATGGAGGAGGAGGATGCCATTGAAGATGGAGGAGGAGAAGCAGAGGAGTTTTTTTGATTTTCTGAATCTTTTTCTGAAGATTGAGAGAGGAAGAGAGAGAATTGTGGGTTGTAAAAAGGGAAGCTTGGAAACGTTTTCAAGGAGAAAGTGGGATGTGAAACGTGGGAAGTTTTTTTTAAGGAGAACGTGAGTTGTAAAAAGGAAGTTTAGAGGGTGAGTACGAAGATGAGTTGGATTTTTGAGTTTTTTTTTTAAATCTGAATAATTTTGTTATGAATAATCTGATTGGTCCAGATCAGATTTACTGTTCATAAGAGCTTTTTGAGTGTTCTCTTTTAGTTAATAAGAAGTATATATATATATATATATAGTATATTACTATATATTATGAATAATGGATTATCCTTGTCATGTAGGGGATTTTCCTCCTTGAAAATGATGTTGGCACAATCCCACACTTGTGATATTCTCTCTCCAACTTCTTCGCCGATGGTGAGGGATTTGATGTCACATCATTTTTTAAGAGGAAATCCTCTCCTTGAACAATAGGAACACATAACCCGCTCTCTCTCTCTCTCTCTCTTCTATATATATAACATATTATTATATCTAATATAAAAAAGAAAACCAAAATAAATTACTTTATCCGGTCGGGACGCGGGCTTTTTGGACAGCCCTACTTATAATGGGTCTTTTTGCAGCTAACCCGAATAATCTATATTATTATTTAAAAGAAGCCTCTTTTTAGTTTGTATGAGCCTCAATTCTAGAATTTTTTTTTGGAAATGCCCTCATCTTCGGAAATAATCAACAATGACGTTCTCACTCTTAGAAAAATCAATAAAAATGCTCTCAAACTAAAAAAAAAATCCACAGAAAAATATTTAATAATAAAGTAAATAATATTTTTCTTGACTCTGGTACTTTTGTGAAACTGTAATAAGAATCTTCCGTGAGCCTTTATTTTTGACAAGCACAAATTGATCACTTATTATTCTACAGGGTAAGCATACACGGGTGACAAATGCGAGCCAACGGCCCCCCCGTTCTTGGTGTGATGCAGAGCAAGACTAGCCTTGTTAGATAGTAGATACTCTGTAACTCTCTAGTAATCGAATGTATTATTGTTTCAAAGTTTCCCTTTCTGACTCGTTCACCACTAATTTTCAAGTCACGGGATCTCAACGACACCCACTTTCCCGCACAAATCTCCTAATTGATAGGATTCCCTCACTTATGGACACGTTACCGACCTCACTTTAGTTAACGGGGACATTTTAACCGTTGACACTATCGTTCGTGAATCCACGTCATCACCATTTCTGTGATCACAATATTTTCTTTCTTTTTTAGTTTGATCAAGGCGAGATCTCAATGTGTACTTGTTTGTGGCTCTTGTTATTGGATGCGCAACAAAAGGGAGAATGTCTTCAGAAGTATTCGGTTTTTACATTTGGTTCGTGAAAATTAATGGAGTCCGAATAATTCCTTCGCCATTATCTCATTGTGTGGTAATTAATACCTCTCATTAATTGGCTTCCTATGTCAATCAAATTTAATTACTGATAACAAAGTTTCACATTCCTCGATTTAACTTTTTCATGCCAAGCTCAGAAAATCCGTAAGGGATTTAGGAAAACGTATATTTATTGTGAGAAAAGACAAATCAAATAGAATATATATAATTAAAGATGGATAAGATTATTCTTAGACAAAAGATAGAAGTTTGCTCTGATTGGAAGGATTATCGTTATACTTATTCGCCTAATTTCTTTTTCATTATAAGGTGGGTCTCTTTTATTGCGTTAAGAGATGTTGGTTGTGGTATATGCCTTTTGACATTCACGTCATAAGTCGTATACCTCACCTCGCTAATTCTTTTTTGGGAAAAATGTGTCCAGGTCTCAAAAGCAGAAACTTCATGTGACAAGGCCCCTCATAATTTTCTCCATGTGGATCAGCCCCTTGAAGTGTGACACTTTGTACTGCAGCCACTTTTTATCAATTATCACATGCCAGCTAAGCTAAAATTCCCAAACTATCTTTATCCTCTCTCCTCAATCTCTCTGACCCAGCACTCACATCATCTCTCTCTCATCTCCTCTCTCTCTCTCTCTCTCTCACCTCTCTCTAAAACTAAGAGCTTTCTCAAGCTCGTCGTCCTGACCGAGACGCACAGAGCATTAATCTATTAGCTAGAAGAAAAAAAGAAAAAAAGAAAAAAAGAAAAAAGAAAGGTAAGAAGAAGTAGAGTAGAAGGGGAATGAAGAGAAATGCCGTAATTAAGAAAGAACGAAAATGTGTATTAATATATCTCTATGAATGAAATTGCCACGGTGCCGTCGAGCGATATTTAAAGCAATATAACGAGAGGTAAAAAATGAGCCCAAATAAAAGGAAGATACCGTATAATAGACAATATAAAGGGCTACACACCGGCGCAGACGGTAGTGAAAACGGAGACCGGAAGTGGCCGTAAAACACGCGCGAAGTCGGCACGGCGCTGCTGTTTTCTGCTCGCTACTGCCGTCGAGCGATGTTTCGGATGTTACCGAGAGAGATAGAGAATGAGTTAGAGCGTGATACAAATTGGAGGTGATAGGCAATATGTAGGGCTACTCACTAAAGAAGAAATCGGCGAAAACGGAGATTGGAGACGATCAGAAAGCGCGTGCGAAGTCGGCACAAAACTATAGTTTTCTGTAGTGCAATTTCTCGCCGTTCGGGTTTGTTCTTCGCTGTTCGGAGATTTTCGCCGCTGTCCGGGCTTACCGAAGGTGGGAGGAGGTTGCCAGGGTCGTCGGGGTGTCTCGATGGGCTCCGTCGGAGGTAGGAGGAGCTTTTCTCCGTTCCCAAGAGCCTAGAACTAAGATGAATTAGAGCTAGAACTAGCTAGAACTAGCAAGATGGAAGCTAGAACTGAGAGTATACAAGCTAGAACTAGGGGAATAGAAGCTAGAACTAACGTAGAATAAAGAACTAGCAAGTGTGCATGTAAAAAACCCTTGTTGGGTTTAGAACTAGCAAGATAGAAGCTAGAACTGGGGGTATACAAGGTAGAACTAGGGGAATAGAAGCTAGAACTAACGTAGAATAAAGAACTAGCAAGTGTGCATATAAAAAACCCTTGTTGGGTTTAGAACTAGCAAGATAGAAGCTAGAACTGGTGGTATACAAGCTAGAACTAGGGGAATAGAAGGTAGAACTAACGTAGAAGAAAGAACTAGCAAGTGTGCATGAAAAAACCCTTGTTGGGTTAAGAACTAGCAAGATAGAAGCTAGAACTGGGGGTATACAAACTAGAACTAGGGGAATAGAAGCTAGAACTAACGTAGAAGAAATAACTAGTAAGTGTGCATGTAAAAAACCCTTGTTGGGTTTAGAACTAGCAAGATAGAAGCTAGAACTAAACCCTAGTTCTAAACCCAACAAGGGTTTTTTACATGCACACTTGCTAGTTCTTTATTCTACGTTAGTTCTAGCTTCTATTCCCCTAGTTCTAGCTTGTATACCCCCAGTTCTAGCTTCCATCTTGCTAGTTCTAGCTAGTTTTAGCTCTAATTCATCTTAGTTCTAGGCTCTTGGGAACGGAGAAAAGCTCCTCTTACCTCCGACGGAGCCCATCGAGACACCCTGACGACCCCGGCAACCTCCTCCCACCTCCGGTAAGCCCGGACAGCGGCGAAAATCTCCGAACAGCGAAGAACAAACCCGAACGGCGAGAAATTGCACTGCAGAAAACTATAGTTTTGTGCCAACTTCGCACGCGCTTTCTGATCGCCTCCAATCTCCGTTTCCGCCGATTTCTTCTTTGGTGAGTAGCCCTACAGGTTGCCTATCACATCCAATTTGTATCACGCTCTAGCTCATTCTCTATCTCTCTCGGTAACATCCGAAACATCGCTCGACGGTAGCAACGAGCAGAAAACAGCAGCGCCGTGCCGACTTCGCGCGTGTTTTACGGCCACCTCCGGTCTCCGTTTTCACTACCGTCTGCGCCGGTGTGTAGCCCTTTATATTGTCTATCATATGGTATCTTCCTTTCATTTGGGCTCATTTTCTACCTCTCGTTATATTGCTTCGAATATCGCTCGGCGGCACCGTGGCAATTTCATTCATAGAGATACATTAATACACATTTTCGTTCTTTCTTAATTACGGCATTTCTCTTCATTCCCCTTCTACTCTACTTCTCCTTACCTTTCTTTTTTTTTCTTCTTCTAGCTAATAGATTAATGCTCTGTGCGTCTCGGTCAGGACGACGAGCTTGAGAAAGCTCTTAGTTTTAGAGAGAGGTGGGAGAGAGAGAGAGGAGATGAGAGAGAGAGAGAGAGAGAGAGAGAGAGAGAGAGAGGAGAGAGAGATGATGTGAGTGCTGGGTCAGAGAGATTGAGGAGAGAGGATAAGGATAGTTTGGGAATTTTAACTTAGCTGGCATGTGATAATTGATAAAAAAGGGGCTGCAGTACAAAGTGTCACACTTCAAGGGGCTGATCCACATGGAAAAAATTATGAGGGGTCTTGTCACATGAAGTTTCTGCTTTTGGGTCCTGGACACATTTTTCCCTTCTTTTTTTAGATTTCTCAATCCCAAAGGCTAGGAATAAATTATAAACAAAAAGTTATAGCTAATAGGTATTTGCGTCAACTTCTATTATAAACTCAAAAAAAAAATTTTATCCTATCCAATGTGAGACTTATATACTTACATATTAACAACCTCAGCATCCCTTCAATGCAAATTAACACATGATTACCCTCGTAGCATCTATCAATCCTTAAACTAATTGTCCTAATTTATCTTCATCCACAAAGAGCTATAACGGTTTGGATTACAAGGAGCCGCTTATCTTTCACAATAAGATATCATCATCTATTTCTTGTTCCATATCATATAGTTATGTTACTCGGAAAAAAAAAAATTCTATCGTACTTGTATAAACCAGATAAAAGAATTCACTGTGAGATAAGGAAAAATAGATTTAGTCTCATATTCATGGTGGATTGCTTCGTGAGTTTGAAACTGGTTCTCGTAATAATAAATATGTAATAATTGAAAAGGAATATATATGGGAATCAAAATTTAATGTGATCATATCCTTGCACTCATTGCCATAAAATTCATTCTCATCTATTTTCTTTACACGGCTGCTGCATAGCTAAAAGCTTTAGAGTCTATCATCACTTTACCTACAATGAACCCATTTAAAAGTCAATTATTGAGGTTGAGGGTATCTAACTTGCTAATGGCATCAAATCTCCTATTATATATATGTATATATAACTTTATCAATATAGAATTTCCAAATTGTG